AGATACAGGAGATGCCAGCTGCAGAAGCCAGTCTCTGGAGGAAGGCCGCGCAGGAGGAGATGGATGCACTGCATCAGAACAAGACCTGGACACTCACTGAGCTGCCTCCCGGTAAGAAGGCCATTGGCAGTAAATGGGTTTTCAAGGTTAAGAAGGGGTCAGAAGGAGAAGTGCAGCGCTACAAAGCTAGACTTGTAGCACAGGGATTTTCACAGCGTTTTGGTGAAGACTACGATGAAGTTTTTGCACCAACTGTGAGGTACAGCAGCGTAAGAATGCTTTTAAGCATTGCAGCCTCCAAGAAAATGAGGGTGAAACACATTGACATTGCCACCGCTTTTCTACATGGGCAGATTTCTGAAGAAATTTACATGAAACAGCCCAAAGGTTTTGTAAAACCACATGAAGCACATTTAGTGTGCAAGCTGCAGAAAGGACTTTATGGACTTAAACAGGCTGCTAGAGCCTGGAACCAGAAGTTGCATAAAATGCTGACGCAACTTGGGTACAAGCAAGGCGATGCTGACAAGTGCTTGTACAGTAAGTCAAATAATGGACAATTCTCATATATCCTAGCATTTGTTGATGACCTGATTATTGCCACAGCAAGTGAGAAAGACTATACACAGATAGTAAAACACCTTAGCAAGGAGGTGGAGGTCAAGGAGCTAGGAGATGTCCAGTATTACCTCGGGATTCAGGTGGAAAGAGAAGAGGACGGATCATTTCTTCTCAGCCAAAGACAGAAGATCCACGAGCTAGTTGAGCACATGCAGATGCAAGACGCACATCCAGTTGCTACACCGATGGCTACTGACTTCCTGAAGAATCAGCAGGATTCGAAGCAGTTGCCAGACAACAATGACTACAGGTCGGCGATTGGTAAACTTTTGTATTTAGTTACCACATGTAGACCTGACTTAGCTAATGCTGTGGGGATTCTTAGCAGAAAAGTGAATTCTCCCACTGAGCATGATTGGGCAGGTGTAAAGAGGGTGGTGCGATATTTGAAGGGTACCATGAATTGTAAATTAAGGTTACCAGCCGTCAAAGACCCTAAGTTGGTTGGGTATACAGATGCTGATTGGGCTGGGGATAATGCTGACTATAAATCAACGAGTGGTCATGTTTTTATGTTTGGTGATGGACCTGTCGCGTGGGGCAATTATAAACAGAGCTGTGTAGCATTATCTTCCACAGAATCAGAATACGTTGCAGCAACAGAAGCCTGCAGAGAGATCGCCTGGCTTGATCAACTCATAAAGGACTTTGGGTTGGTGAGAAAAGGGCCTGTCAGCTTGCTAGAGGACAATCAGAGTTGCCTGAAGCTGACGCAGAGTGAGAAGTTCCTGGCCAGAACAAAACACATTGGGGTTAAATACCACTACATACGCCAGATGATCCAGGATGGACTTGTGGAGCTATCCTACTGCAGCACCCAAGAGATGACTGCTGACATCCTGACGAAACCCCTACCAAGAGAGAGTTTCCAGAATCTACGTGTCAAGCTGGGACTCTGGGTGGTTGAATAAAGTTGTTTATATTTTGTATATGTTGTATTGCCTGAGAAGGGGTATGTGGGATGTAAACACAGGAGCAGTCAATGACAACATTCCTAGAGTGTACATGCTAGAACATGGTGGGGATGTCTGTCCAGCAAGCAGGTAAACTTCCTGGGGACGGACTTCCTCCACATGTGACTAGAGGTGGGTGTGGCCTCACCTGTGCAGGTGATGACAAAAAAAGCACAGGGCAGGCAGCCATCTCTCTCTCTCTGCCATTTTCCTTCGACGAGGAAACACCTAAGGATGCCCTCTTGGCTCCCAGCCAAGAGAGGAGATAAGGCCTATCTTGCTATGAGATAGATTCTAAATCTATGTAACCTTTTTAAGCTGTGCCTTCTGGGATCACATTGTGAACAGAACGTGAGTAAACTCTTTTATACTTTTATGAAGACTGTGTCGTGTCTTATATTTTAAGAGGGAACTAAAGGGGAAATTACCAGGGTAATTATTATAGAGGTTCTAGCGAACCTGTGCACACGTTACCGTTGCGTACTTAAAGGGGAATGTATATAAACTCTGCTGATATTTTGGGAACTTGTTAGCACAAGTTGGATTAGGATATAATCTCACAATATATCCTCTCCTGCACCCCAGAACATTCCCACACATCCAACCTCTGCTTAAAAACCTCCAAGGAAGGAGAGTCCACCATGATTCCCCTAAAAAATCATGGGACCCGCCAAAGGCGCCAAGATTGAGGGGGCCCGTTGCATGCCATGTGACGTTGCATCGTTTGGAAGAGGACGAGTGCAGAACCCAGCACAGTGTGACTTCAATTGCCTATAGCTCCTCCTCTTTGTTGCTCAGGAGGAGCTGACCACTGAAGCTGTGCTTCGCTTAGCTCTGTGCCGCCTCTACCTCATTATCATTGAGGCGGGTTGGCTCCCGGCCAACAGATATTGGGAGGGCGAAGACAGCTCAGCCCCATAGAGTTGGCACCCCTGGGAACTGCAGTTTCTGAAGGGTCTTGGAAAACATAGTTTAGTGATGGATAAGGGTTCGGGGCAGGGGGTGATGTGCTTTGATTGTGTGGTATGTATGCAGCGTCTGGCTTGCCAGAGGTACTCCCGTTTGCTCTCAGTAGAAAACCTCTGGGCCAGGCTGCTGCAGTCCCACTGTTTTATACACAGAAGCAGAAAGCCCAGACAGAAACCCTTAGTTTAGCTGAATGTCAAACTGCACATTTTGAGATCCAGATACTGTTTAATTTACATTTCCTAGCAATCTTATACAGAGGTGAAAAAGGCCCAATGTGGGTCTGAGTCTTTTATCAGTGTGGAGTTTTGGAAATTGCATTTTAAAATATTAACGTGCATACTCATGCAACACTTTTATCGACCCCTTGTCAAAAATAATACAAGAACAAGTGCTGAAGAGTGGTGTTTTGACATCTCTAATGCTTTCCTGTTTGGTTAGTTTTGAAGTATTAAAGATGTGTAGGCTTGGACTATTAATCCTGAATGTGAGAGTGGCATCAAGACTCAACCTGAAATTATGAAACAAAACATCAGCTGATGTTACCCTTGGTACCCGCCACCAAACATTGTCGCATTTCTATTTGTCTGAGGAGGGAGGGGGCATTGTTATGCCGTGGATGCTTGAGTGGGGAATTTATGGACATTTTTAAATTATAAAATGGTTGTTCATGTCAGGTTCCCAGTTTAAAATCCATTATGGGTCAGGAAGAGGAGGCTAGTTAGTACTTTGAGGGGCAAATGTACAAAGTTGTTTGACATTCTGAGTCTTTAATTATAATTGTAGTTTAATGATAAGTTTTGGAGCTGTGGTTTTAGATAACTGATGTTTGTGATCACTGATCTGCTGTTTCAAAGTGCAAATTAGCAGCATTAGAATTCTGTTAGAATTTTGCTACAAGTGTTCCAGATTTTAAAATATCCAGATTTAACATAGCATCATTAAGTCCAGTGTATTGGGAATGATCTGCTACATATATTAACATTGTTTTGTTGCTAGGTGAATTAAATGCTATAAAAGTCTCTTTATTTATCTCTACCACTTTGCCTTAATCACTTTCTCAGTAAGGTGTATACAACTATATTATAACCACTTTGATCATAGAAATGATAAATGTTAGTAACACCTCAGTGAATCTTGGGGGGTATTTCAATAGCAATAAGATGTGTTCCAGATTTCTTTAAAATATTTTAAGGAGTGTCATTTTCAGACATTCAAAGGTGCAAGGAGCAAAGCTGAAAAATTAGACTTTGCCTACTGTTCTAACTCTTCATTGCAGTGCTAACTCCAGATGGCCAGAGAACAACACAGAGACCAGGAGGCCAGCATAATATTTGCAAGAGACTGCATTAGAAGGAACAAACTTTAGTCAACAGTGTGCTGCTACCGAACTATATACAAACATGAAACCAGAGAGATAAACCTAGTTTCCTTTCCCTGCTGGTCTCCCCCAGGACTGATCCAGCAATACTACCATTTCTAAATCACTTTAATTCCTGCTTACATTATAACCAAGTCCTATGGAGGGAAAGGTTGAAGGAATCGGGCATGTTTAGCCAGGAAAGCAGACAATTAAGAAAATTACAAGAAAAAGGATTCAGACTAAACAATTAGGAAGTTCGAGCTGCTTGATAGCGTCAATAATAATTTCATTTATGAATCACTTCTCATGAGCCATCCCAAAGCAATTCACAATATAATAAAAACACATATAAAACAGTTACATGTATAAAAACCTGTAAAGCAATTGCATGTATGAAAATACTTATATATCACACAGAGAGAGATTTTAAGGCAACAATAGCACATTCATCAAATCAATTCAAATCCAATACACGTGCCAACTGGGATAAAACTCTCCATTTAGAAGGCTTGTTGAAGGAGGAAGATCTTTAGCAGGCAGAGAAGATGCCTGCCTGGTATTTAATGGGAGATCCCAAAGCTATCTTCCACCACATTAAAGGCGTTGCATGGAATGGACCTCCTGATAGGATGGTATCTGCAGGAGACCCTCTCCTGTAGAACACAGTGATTGGTTGGGTGTTTAAAGGAGGTAGATGGCCATGCAAGTGGTAATAGTGAAGCTGAAGCTAAGCCACAGCAAAGCAGGTCCTGGGAGTTCTTGATGGTGGGACTCTTCTGAGGTATGGGATGACCTCAAAGTGTGTAGAAGTACACTTTGTGTAGAGGTGTGGGATGACCTCAAAGTGTGTAGAAAGGTCCCAGGATCATTTTACATCGACTCTGCTCCTTTTGAGTATCTAAAGCCAAGATGTATGCAACCATTTCGTTTCATTACCCAACCTTTTCACCCAACAACATGTAGGCTTCAAAGGTAAGGTCATGCAGCCTTTTCCATCCCCATGCTAACGAGCACCATGTCTGCTGCTGTTAACAATTCAAACTGCGTTTCCCCCCAATTCTGAAATAAATATGGGGATATTGATTGTGTTCTGGCAGGACTCATTGTTCGAGAAGTCAGCATTGAGATTTCCCGCCAGCAAGTTGAAGAACTCTTCGGGCCAGAAGATTACTGGTGCCAGTGTGTGGCTTGGAGCTCAGCAGGTACTACGAAGAGCCGGAAGGCCTACGTTCGTATCGCATGTAAGTATTCATGCTTCTGCATGGCTCTGCCTTGTTTGCATGATCAAACCTTGCATCACACTACTTAAGTCAAAAGGACTGAAGTTCCTTTTATAGAAGTATAGGAAGCTGCCTTATACTGAGACCATAGGCCCATACAACTCTGTATTGTCTGCACTCTCCAGAATTTCAGATAAGGAGTCTTTTCCAAGCTGTAACAGGAGATGCTATACCGCTGAGCTATACCCTTTCTCTCAAAGGGAAACATATCTATACACTCTGCATTAGTGTAAGGTGTAGTTTGACCCTTAGTCTTCATTGCTGTTGGGAATGAAGGTTAGAAAGATAAGCCTTCATAGAAAAGGTGCACTTTGAAGACGTATCTGGATGCAAATCTCCATTGGACAACCTGAGATTTTAATTACTGATAAAACCCCAACACAATTACTTGTCAAACACAACCGGCAGAGCTTTTCAAATTTGTGGCTCACCTTCCAATATTTATTTTCTCGGCTGAATGTACATTACAAAAACCCACAGAATTAGTGAGACTTTTAAGTCCACTGTGAACATTTCTTTCAGCGCTGCAGATGAAATTAAAATGAATAGTGTTTTCCAAATTCACAAATCAGAATTGGGTATTTATTTCCCTTGACAGATACTTGAACTTAAGAGTCGTGCTATGCGGATCCATTAATCTGTCAGATTTGAAGTGCAGTGCAAGTAATGGTCTTCAACCCAGAGAAATTGCCTGTAGTCAAACAAACAGTTATTATATCCAAATAAACCTTCTGTCAGGATGTATGCAATCCCAGAGTGGAAGATTAGATATATGCAACCATTTCATTGCACTGTGAATAAAGTCTGAATAAAGAATGGATGTGGCCTATTTTGCCTTAATCAGAAGAGAATAAGACTGTAAAAAACCCTGCCTTTGCCCTATTGACACTCATATTAATATTAAATTTTCTTTTCTCCCGTCACATCTGTACTGCCCTGCTTCCCCCGACACAATTCAAGGCGAGCAGATCTTAGAAACACAGATATCCATCTTATTATACAAATATTTAATTTTCATTAATTTTCAAAGGGAGGACTGTCTTTCAAATGCTGTATTTGCTCTGGAGACTCTCATTTCACTACCATGTGGATGAAATGAGTTTACCCTGACTTACAGTGGAAGTAAGCCACATTACTCAGAGTCAGGTTTTCTTTGCCTTTGGGGAAATGAAACAAAACAGCTTTTGGTGAATGCTCACTAGAAGCTGGCTATCTGTCTGGCATTTAGCCTGACATTTTAGTGAAAAAGAATTTCACTTCTAGTAATGTGAATGAATTCTCCAGGAAAAAAACTGTTATTGGGATGTACAGTTTTTTCCAAGAGGTACTCTTGCTCTGGAGGCTATCAGAAGAATTCGTAAATGAGAAATTAAGGCACAGTGAGGTTTTAAAAACTGAAAATAGGCCTTGTTCCTGTGCTCACCTATTTCATACTGACAATCATCCCTGCTTTTCCTGAATCATATTTAGTCTTATTTCCAATTATGCTTCTTGCTTTTGATTAACATTGGTAGAAAATTAAAGATGAATAAGTGGCTGTCCAGTCTTTCTGAATAATTTCTAGTGGTGCCCCAACCGAGAGGAGCACACAGGTTCATAGAACTGTAGAGTAGGAAGGGACCTTGAGGATCATATAGCCCGGGGGTTCTCAACCTGGTCCCTACCACCCACCAGTGGGCATTTTAGGATTCTAGGTGGGCAGTAGGGGGTTCTACAGCACAAGCTGAATCCTCCTTCCACCAAGCACTGGTAGCCGGTAAGGAAATTTTACTATCAAGAAAGATGCATTAGTGGGCGGTAGGTATAAAAAGGTTGACTAACTGCAATGTGGGAATACGCAGCTGTCCCATACGGGGATCAAACCTGCAGCCTTTGTTTTATCATCACTATGCTCTAATCAACTGAACTTTCCAGACGCATGTTTTATCTCGTGATGGCTGCCTCATCAAGTGATGACTCCCATATGTAAATATTCACCACCGCATACTTATTTCCATAGGATTCACTTTTGTATGACCTTACACACCACACTTTTCTATGTGTTTACACATTCAGATGCCAGCCATCAAGTGTACAGCAATCAAATGTAGAAAAAAAAGTGATATGCATACATGTGTGAACTGACAAATGATACAACTCCTTCACTATCTTAACTTTGATGCTTAATCAACAACTTTGACCTGAACCCCCCAAAAGGGGGTAGCTCACTGCCAGTTTTTAACTGTGAGTAGATCGCAGTCTCTTGGGAGTTGGCCATCCCTGCTCTAGACACATTGGCAAAGGGAGTTCTACTTCTATTAAATGAGAAATGGGGTGATGCTCTCCAGCTTTACCCCTACATATTTCACCCAGGATGCTTGCCCAGAAAAATTATGTTAATGGCTCTAGAGTTATATCAAGGGATAGGATCTGCAGGTGTTATTACATAGTCTACGGAGTGCAAAGCTCTGCAGTATGCTACATTTTCCACATTTAAGATCCCAGGGTACTCTAGTTGAAAGGATCACAGGGCTTGGCAGGAGTCTTTGGGGGGTTTTTCTGAGACCCTGAAGAACAGCTGCCAGTCAGATGATTTCTTCATGCAGTGCATAGTTAGTTTATGGAACTTGCTGCAGCAAGATATGACAGTGGTCACTGGCTTTGATGGCTTTAAAAGGGAACAAAAACATCCATGGAGAATAGTGTATCAATGGCTATTAGCCAGGAGAACTAGAAAGAATCTCCAGATTCAGAATATATATGAATTCCAGTTGCCGGAGGAGAAACAGCAAGGGAGAGCTTTTGTCACCATGTCGTGCTTGTGGGCTGCTGAGAACCATCTGGACAGCAGCTGTTAAGAAACAGAATGCTTGACTAGATATCTCATGTTCTGATCCAGCAAGGTTCTTCTTTTGTTCCTACAAGATTTTGTGGAGCAGGGGATCTGCAAAATGTTTCTGTTAAGTATCCATTCATTCACTGAAAGTCTTTGCACAGGCTATAGTAAGGTTTAGAAGGGCAAGCAATTAAATGACAACTGAGCCCTCGTGTATTCCAGGAAACCCTAACATAAGTATTTAACAAGACATATATATCTGGCATTCTGCTGGGATTATACTTCTGGTAGCAAACAAATATTGCAGCCTTTGGGGACTTTCATGACAGATGAATGCTAAACTTATCCCTTCCAAGCGCTAGCAGTGAGCTAAAGATCAATTTAGAAATGTTTCATAAGTTTATTCTAAGATGATAAAAATAAAACTACATTAAATTATGAAGTGGATTTCAGTGCCTTGTCAGGGAATGTGTGACAGATTGCTACCATGTTACATTTAATTGGCATTGTTGTGATCTAATGTAACAAGGCAAAATTGTTAAAGCCATGTGTATGTAATCACATGTCATTTGCAGTGAGATATACTGATGTCAGCTCTCCCTTGCTAAGCTGAAATTCTCTGAATGCTTCTCATACGTTCGATTTATTGTTTCCATTCAACCAGTCATGCGCTGGTTGGCTTTTTAATTGGGACGATACCCTGAACTTTTCATGGTAGAGTTATGTTGTCCAGTGTTTATAATTCAGTACGTATTTATTTGTTTTACAAATAATCTTGCATATAAAATTGTCATTCAGATTGAAGTGACGGATCTTTCAAGCTACTCTTTTAAGAGAGGAAGAAAAACAAAAACAAACTATGAAATGCAAAATGTGATAGTACCAAGGTGACATTGGGTGTATTGCGCTCTCCTAATTTAGAAGTGAGTTTCAGTTTCTGATATTAAAATTTATGCTTTCAGGCTTCTTTGTGCAGGTGAATTACTGTTCTCAGTTATGTTGGATAATTAGCCAGTGCCAAATCCTTCAGCTTCTGTTGACAGATTTTTTGTTGTTGTATTATCAAACCCTTGGCCTGAAATGAGAAGTGGCAGAAGTACGTTTACTGAAAATTTAATGAGAGTTCTTTTCACATTTCAATATAAAGAACAGTGCTAACAAGTCACACCCAACTTAACTTACAACGGGGACACATAGATGGAGGTCCTGACCACAACAGCACAACCTCCCACTTCTGCTGCTCCACTCCTGGTACGCAGAGCCACACCACCTCCAACCGTTTAAAAGTTACATAGCTATCATAGCTAGGACCCATTGACAGCTTTATTCTTTATGAAGTTGTCTAATCTCTTTTTAAAGCCTTCCAAGTTGACAGCCATCACTAGAAGCCATGGTAGTGAATGCCATAGGGTTTCTTTTACCGCAGCCGCATGCTGGGTTAACATCATCAAGTTATCCACTGCAACTCCAAGATCATCACCAGTTTAGATCCCATTATATGGTTTCAGACCATTGGTCCATCTAGCTCAGTGTTTGTTAACAATGACTTGCAGTGGCTTTCCAGAGTTTCAGACATGAATCTTTTCCACCCTACCTGGAGATGCTGGCAGATTGAACCTGGCATATTTTGCCTAAAAAACATATGCTCTTTTGAGCTTCAGTACTTCCCCTGTAATGGCCAATGAACTGTCCTTCTGTGGATGGATAATTTGGCTTCCATACTGGCCATGTAAGCTCTCAGCACAAGGATCAGACCCATATGAAGTGGGATCCTTCTCAAGCACCATTTGATGATGACAAAAGGCAAGGAGTGATGTGTCTAAGCCACAGTTTCTGCAACTGATGCTCACAGGACTCCCTAAGTTTGCTAAGAATCCAGGAGTGACTGAGATAACTGTCTGAAGGAGCATGCTGAAGCTAAAGAGCTCTGGACTCATAAATTGTCTGGATGGTAGATCAGCAGTAAAACATATAGGTGTAGCTTGACATGCTCAGCTATGTCTTGTGCATATATACTAGTGCATGGGTACTTATATGAATTTGGGGGACATTATGGCGACTAAAAGTCAATGGGTGGCAAGTGGTTCTGGGGGGGGGGGGATAAAAAGTTTCAATCAATTCTAGCTCTAAACCTCTTGCTGCTCTA